AGCTTTTTTGCTATCCAATCAGATCTATGAAGGTTTATTCTTTTGTGTAGCTTTTCAGTTTCTCCGACGTACTGAAGGCCACAGATCTTACATGTGATGAGATAAATCACATTCTCTGTTTTGCGCGTTTTGTTTGGACCAGGTATATTTAGGTTTTGTTAGTCACTGTGCTAGTGAATGTCTTGGTCTCTATCATATGTTGACAATTTTTGCATCTTTTATCGCTACAGGGTCCAGATTGACTAGGTTGGTTTTGACTAGCGATTGGCGTTAGTTTTGCCCTGACTAGGATGTCCTTTAGGTTTCTTGGTCTCCGGTAAGCTACTACAGGTTTGTTCGGAAGTATTAGGTTTAGTATGTCTGACGATTGCACGGTTGGCCAGTGGTTTGCGATGATTTTACCTACTTTGGGATTGTCTGGGTGATAGGTCAGAATAAATGGTATCCTATCAACCTTTTTTTCTGTCCATATCTGAGTAGGTCATCACGGCTTGTTTGTTTGGCCCTTTGGATTGATCCGCAGTCAGGTCTGTGTCGTAGCCTCGGTAAATTAAATGTTTAGCCAGCTCTTCAGACCTTTCTAGGAATCTTTCATCGTCGGAGCAAATTCTGCGTATCCTAAGTGCCTGGCTATATGAAATGTTCTTAATGCAGTGTTTTGGATGACAGCTGGTTGGGAGGAGATACTGGTGTTTGTCGGTTGGTTTCGAGTAGATGTCTGCGTGTAATTTGTTTTCCACCAGTCTGGTTGGTGTGTCCAGGAAAACATGGTTTGAGTTGGAAATTTCTGCCGTGAATTTTATTGAAGGATGGAAGTTGTTTGCCTTTGATATGAAGTCATCCAGACTTTCTCTTCCATACTGCCACTTCATTTCTATATCATCGATAAAGCGTATCCACTGGTATGGTGTACTCTCAACCGATGCTAAGAGCTGACCCTCAAGTTTTCCCATGAAAATGTTTGCATACGAAGGGGCCATTTTAGTACCCATTGCAGTTCCATTGATTTGTAGGTAGTTTTCTTCATTAAATTCAAAGTTGTTGAGTTTTAGGACAAGCTCCAGGAGTTGGACTAAGAAGTGTGTGGGTGGATTGTTACAGTTCTTGTTTCCCATGCTTCGCTACATGCCTGTAACCCTATATATATATATATATATATATATATATATATATATATATATATATATATATATATATATATATATATATATATATATATATATATATATATATATATATATTGTCTTATATATATTGTATTATATATATTGTCTTTTATATATATATATATATATATATATATATATATATATATATATATATATATATATATGGGGGTATATTTTTGCATGTCTGGCAGCCATTGGTGTCAACATGAATTTTATTTCCATGGAGAGACAAAATAAAAATCAGTCTCCACTTCCTGCCTTAGGACGCCAATACTGGAAACCCTAGTTTTTTAAAGGCGAAAAAATCAATTAGTTTTGAATCGGTTTGGCTATGAATACAGAAGTTCATAAAAGTAAAGCAAAGCAAGACAAATGGTAGACACATGCTTCGATCTACCTTTACTGTATGTTTTTATTAACACCGAGAAAAAGATGGCTGTATATCTTATATATTTTTTCGCATTAAAAGTAAGATTGACATGTCTATGGTGTTTTCTATTTATACTTAAATGGAAATGGGTCTGCCGCTAATAAATTTTATAGACAATACAATAGCCATATCGCTTATACCTTTTGCATGCAATAAAATAGCCATATCGCTTATACCTTTTGCATACAATAAAATAGCCATATCGCTTATACCTTTTGCATGTAATAAAATAGCCATATCGCTTAAAACATTTTATATACAATAAAGTAGCCATATCGCTTATACCTTTTGCATGCAATAAAATAGCCATATCGCTTATACCTTTTATATACAATAAAATAGCCATATCGCTTCTACCTTTTATATACAATAAAATAGCCATATCGCTTATACCTTTTATATACAATAAAATAGCCATATCGCTTATACCTATTATTTAAAATAAAATAGCCATATATCTTATACTTTTTATATACAATAAAATAGCCATATCGCTTTTACCTTTTATATACAATAAAATAGCCATATCGCTTATACCTTTTGCATGCAATAAAATAGCCATATCGCTTATACCTTTTATATACAATAAAATAGCCATATCGCTTATACATTTTACATACAATAAATAGCCATATCGCTTATACATTTTATATACAATAAATAGCCATATCGCTTATACCTTTGATATACAATAAAATAGCCATATCGCTTATACCTTTTATATACAATAAAATAGCCATATCGCTTATACCTTTTGCATGCAATAAAATAGCCATATCGCTTATACCTTTTATATACAATAAAATAGTCATATCGCTTATACATTTTATATACAATACAATAGCCATATCGCTTGTACCTTTTATATACAATAAAATAGCCATATGGCTTATACCTTTTATATAAAAATAAAATAGCCATATGGCTTATAACTTTTGCATGGAATAAAATAGCCTTATCGCTTATACTTTTTTATATACAATAAAATAGCCATATCGCTTGTAACTTTTGCATGCAATAAAATAGCCATATCGCTTATAACTTTTGTATACACGATTAAGAGCACATCTCTTATATCTCTAAGATAAAACTGAAATGGACTTGTCGCTTATACCATTTATATATACTAAAATGGACATGTAACTTAAAACTTTTATATACGCTAAAATGGGACATGTCTCATTCTCTTACCTACACTAACATCGGCATGTTGCTTGCACCTTTAACAATATATGGATTTATATATTCATTGATAGAGTTATACGAGACATATTTTCATACCCATCGTGAAACGGACCGAGTGCTTGATTGTAAAAGTCATCATACTGGTGAGTAAACATTATAGTAATTCCAAACTATTTGGTTAGTACATTAAAACTCTTTTCCTACGTTTTCGTAGATTTCTTCTTTTATGTGGATAACCTACACTTTCAATAAAAATGACTTGATTCTCTAGTTAAAATTGAATGGAAAATTTGTGTGCATATAATAGTAATTTTTATTGTACTAACAGTTCCTTGACAAGTTCTGGTTCTTATTATCTAAAGTTGATAACTCAATATTCCTGACCAGGTCAACGTAACGCTGATAGACTAGGAATCCACTAAAGAGTAGAAGAGCACACTTTTATTGGCAAGAGCTAAGACGATAGTCACTTCGGTTTAATCTTAAGCCATATACAGCTTTCAGCAAGATAACCCATTAGGCTCATGGCTGGTAATGTTAGAATTCCAAACGTTTCATTAATTCATTTTAATTTAATTATCGCGATGAAGCGAATGATGCAGTCGGAAAACCTATTTTGTCCTATTTCCTTTTATAAATAACAGTATTAATTCAGGTCAGAAACCCACTCCGACATTTCGAACTATCCTAACATTAAGTATAGACTACGGGTATAAAGACTAATTCTCCATATTTGATTTTACTAATATCAAAAGACAATGTCTGAAATCAAGATTTTCAAAAATTAAGTAGTTTCACATTAAAAATAAATAAACCAACAAACCTATTACTAAAGTAATGAATTAATTTCAAAATATAAAAGTCAACAATATAAATATCTTTATTTTAGCTTTGCCTCTTAGATCATGATCGAAAATGTATGTGATAAAATTCAATTGAGGATGTTAATAATAGTCTAACATTAAAAAATACTCCATTAAAAATTCTATATTTTAATGTAACACTGTAATCGTGAGGGAAGAAGTAGTTGCGGTATGTGTTGACGATTTTTCCTTGTATCAACAGACCATATATTTCGTGTCGTATTCTACTCCCTTATATCATGAAAACCATGTCTTTTTCAACGACTTTTCCCCCATGTATCAAGCAATCATGTCTTTCTTGCATCATTCTATTTCCTGTGTATCAATCCCGTGTGTCAAGAACGCATGTCTTTCTTGTATCATTCCATTTCCCTTATATGAAGTGATTATTTCGTGTATCATTCCATTTTCCGTTTAACAAGAAACCATGTCTTTCTTGTATCATTCTGTTTCCTGTGTAGAAACTGTTTTTCTTGTATTATTCCATTTTCCGTTCATTAAGTGACCATATCCTTTATTGTATCATGCAAATCGCGTGTATCTGGCAACAATGTATCATTTCATTTCCCGTGTATCAAGAAATCATGTCTTTCTTGTATCATTCCACTCGCGTGTATTAATAAGCCATGTCTTTCCTGTTTAAATCCACTCTCGTGTATCAAGAAACCATGTCTTTCTTGTATTATTCCACTCCCCTGTATCAAGAATCCATGTTTTCTCCTGTATCATTCCACTAATAATATACAATTATATTATGCTTTATATGCTAAATATATTAACTGAAAATATCTATTAGAAAATTATACCAAAATGAGACAAAATTCTAAGACGGAAACATCGACAAACACTTAAGTAGTTAATGCCTCTATTATATCTTATATCATTACCCTTGCCTTATACAGATAGTTTTAATGTGTATTTGCGTTCGTACAATACTTATTTGTCATAGCCTCCGATTCATGGATTGTTCATGTATTTTTAGTTTGGCATTATTTGGCTGCCATCGGTAGTGAATTGTGTAAAATGGATATAGTTCTTCATGTAGCAGGTAATGCTTTTAAGTATATTTATATTCTGTTGTTGATTTTAATAGTAGTTTGTATGTATGTGTGTTTGTGATTTAGATTTTTAACTTAGCTTTAATCATTTTTCATTCATGTCGCTACGATGTCTACAGTGGGACAGTTTAAAGTGATGTCTAGCCTTTGGGCACTTGCCGCAGACATGTGGCATGATGCCCCACCCAGTCACATTATCCTGACACCAGGCCGACCAATCCTAAAACTAACATCTTAATGCTGAACGCCAGGTTAGGCGAGACAGCTGTTAGTAGCATTTTTAAAGTCTTTGGTATGACTTGGCCGGGGTTCGAACCGGTGACCTCCAGCATCTGAGGCTGACGTTCTAACCACTAGGCCACCGTGGCGGTGATTTTAATATTATCTGTTGAGCAGCAAATAGAGTGTAAGAAAAACATGGCTCCAACAAGTATAAAGGTTGATTTGGACACTTATTTGAGTACGAAGAAATAATGTATCGATATGGATTAAGCAAATAAACTATCATACCAAGTTACCAAATTAAAAATAACTATATAGCTTGCAACAGTAACATATGCTTAGACTACCTTAGTTATTCTAATATACGTCACATGTCATTACAATTTCCAAAAAGAATGTGGTGGGTGTTGAATACCGTACATTACTGTTTGACGGAAAACGTTCGCAAATTATGTTTGTTTTGATTTTTGTAACAGTCGCTGGATTACTATGTCCTGTTTATTATTTGGACATAGCATAATGGATAAACAAGCCTCGATAGTGTAAGACTTTCTTCTTTTTGGAGAAAATTGGTTGGATCATTTATTAAAAAGTGGTTTTATTAGAATAAGTGCGGTAGGCATCCATTAAATGAAGAGGAAGTCTCAATAGTTTTATGTCTTTTTAAATCAATGTATTTGAGCAGGTATATGCAGCAATTATAACACATGTATTTAAAACTAATTATTTATCAATGTCTATGATAATTATAAGGATTATGTTGCATGCATAATATATTTTCAAAGAAAATCCTGTTTCACATCACTTCTGATCATGTTTTAAAGAGATTTGCTTAATTATGATATGTCAATATCATTCACATTCTATTTTTGAAAATGTCAACACGGCGAAAAAATATTAAAATGAAATTGATTAACTGGATTTCTTCTTTTTCTAGAAACATATCGCCAGCATCTGGATGATTGTATCTGCCGAAATAATAACTCGGGTATAATTTATGTATAAAATTTGCAAGTAGCTTTTTGATATATCTGTTTTTCATTTGATGTCACGATTAAATTATATAATATAACTGTTTTTATTTGGATGTTACAAGTATCTTATTTAATAAAACAATTTTTGAATTGGAAATCACATGTAGATTTTTTAATACAGCTGCTTTGAATTGGATGTCAAGTCCGTCTTTTTAGCTTTCAATTCAGAATCTACGGGTAGATTATACTCGTTGTGCTACATGCAAATCCTATAATGCGTTCAGGATCTACAAGTTATGACACCGACTGATTCAGAAATATGTAGGTCAAATCAAAGAGCTTTTTGACTTTTGTTTGTCAGATGAAAATATTGTATACATTTCCACACTCTAAAAAACAAAGAAATGTAAGTAGTAAGTTTTTTCAATGAAGAGCAACATGCTATGCAAATATATGCGTGCATATGCATTGACTTTGGAGAGGGACAAACAAACATTTATAATGGTTTGATATACATGTATCTAAATAAAAATATCAAAATGAAATAAAGGCGTTTTAAAGATCACAAATTATTTGATATCATATGTTTAGCTAAAAGGGCCAAAACAAAAACGAAGTATTGTGTTAAACATATATCGATATTTGGATCTTTCAAAATATAGAATTTAACTGTGTTACTAAGACAGGCTTCAAAAAGGAGGGTCTTTTTTTCCTTATAACTTGCATAGTTTATTTTGCATTAAACCATTTATTTCAGATGTCCATATATGTAACAAGGTTATAGTTATAAGTCAGATCGCACACGGGATGACTGTCACCCACCCAAATGCTTCCGATTGTTTACCAGAGGACCATTCATCGTCTGAGGCATTTGTCTTGCATGGCTGTAATATAAGCTCAACAATTCACTGGAGAAAAGGAGAGAGAGTATGTATTAAGTAAAGATGAATATATTCGGTTTGTTCTGATATTTTCTATAGATGGTACGACAGCATATTTTGTTATAAAAGAGTTAGTAAACACAGTGCAATTTTGCACAAGCAATCATAAATTGCTTCATTCAGTAAGAAACAAGTAATTTGACGCTGATATATGTTGGCTTTTGCGATGAAATCCTCTAATGAAAGGTCAGGTCAGTACAAATGCTGAATATTGTGTTACAACGCGAGCTTAGTAAAAAATATATTATTGATAACCATTTCATATTATTCGTAGTACCTGTGTGCAAAATGCACTCAAACTATTCTTCAAAGACAAAATGTATAAGCAATTCAATAGTTGTCTTTTCAGTAATAATAGGTTGCAAACTAAGAAATTCAATTCAACAGTTTCATTCTTGTTATTTTGTTCCGATCAGTGCAACTAATTGTTCAGCATCGGATCCTTAATGGTGAAAATAACTACAATAAGTCTTTGATTTGAAAAACTTTTTATTTTGAAAGAAGTAATTAACTTGCATGATGAAGGCTGTCATTATCATTCACTGTTATTTAAACCAGGCTTGACCGGTGATCAGTCCTTAGAATTAGTAGAAGAGGAGACAATTCTTTCAATAAATATTAAAAAGTTCATAAATCTCTTACCTAGATATTATAATAATGTACTATGCAAATTATGTCAACTGGTTCTTTTTCTACTCGTTAGTTCACAACGAGATAAAACAGTTAATAAGTTAAATTGGGCGTAAATGTTATGTGGTCTATAAGCGCTCGTCTTTGCCGATCACAGGTATCGCGCCTCAGTTTGCTTGGGTTCAACGCTAGGGCTCAACCAGTTTGGGTAGGTGAGAAAGCTACAATTAGCTTCCCATGGGTTGGGGTCTATACTCTATACAAAATTAACGAAATTACCTATGACCCCTCATACATTATTGCTTTAAAATTTATGCAGATCATGGATATGTGTGAAAGAATCCCTCTATACTCACCAATAGCGAGCTTTGACCATGATGGAGTTTTTTCTTCGAATGGAGGAAGGGCTGGCATTTTCCTGGGCTGCCTGACAGGTGGTTTTAAGGTATACTGCATGAAAAGCACTTTAATGAACAGCTTTTACATCGTCAGTGAAGGCAAAGAACAATATACATGTCCACCAAATTTAAAAAGCATTCTCTTTGCTGCATAAGCCCCATATATTCTGTATTATTTTCTTAATACCTTCTAGCTAACTATTTGTTAAAATAATTAGCTTCTATTTCGCATTACGTTCAATCTCGAAGGTAAATAGCAATTGCACCAATTTACTGCAAGTGATCTAAATATATAGTTTCTATTTACGTTTCACTTTTTTATCATATCTGACCGATATGTTCCAGAACAGAATGAGCCTTCTATACCTGATATATATTACGCTAAAGTTTACCTGTCCTTGTATTAAATTGACCCTTATGTTGCCGTTGCTTCACTTTTTATGTTGCCTCAAAAACTGTGTGTATTACCTGATGTGACAAAATGTAAGACCAGGTCTGAACTACACCAAGAAAATCTACGCCAAGACTTACATTTCTGCGTAGAATCCAGTGATCTGCTTAGCTTAAATTTAAGTCTTACTTTAAACCGAGTGATCTGACTTAAGAAATTTACCGTGAAATAAGGACCAGTCCACATAAGCTTACATAACATGTTGCAACCTTTAACTCTGCACGGTAAGTACAATCTCAATTATGCTTAGTCTTTTATGAGAACTATTTGTGAGACCAGAAAAAGGTTCATAAACGTTTGAGATTAAGTTTTGTAGAAAACTATTAAGTTATCGTGCTTTATCGTCACTCTTTCGCTCTACCAAGTGTATTTTCCCACTTGACAGTCTCTTTAATGTAATGGTTTTGACCGAAATTTGAATCGTTCTTTGGAGGTATAAGAAAATATCAGATGAATTATTTAAACATTTGGTTAAGTTGTGGTTCATATCTAAACATAGATCGTTAAAATTCTATGAAATAGGTTGAGACCTTTTCCGAATATATTTCTGATTGTTCTTTCTGTGTTGGCATGAAATATTTCACAAATTTACCATATTTAAGAAATCATTTTAGGGCCCGTCTCAGACCAACTAAATGTATATGGAATGATTCAAGTCAGGTATTCTATTCGGATAATAGTTAGCAACTGGTTCCGCGTCGAGCAATTTAAATGTATTAATGCACTGAGAACATAGTCGTTTTTCAAATTTTACGACCTATAATCAAGATAATTGCGCACTAATAATCAAATGCTATCGAAAATATTATTGGTGAAAGATCAATATCATAAGGTAAAAAAAATACCTATCTGAACATTATTGTCAGTAAGAATTACTTTCTGAATTACAAATTACCAAATCGTTTAGAAGCCTATATTCAGCAGTGATTGTGTACATGACAGCAATGTTATCCTCATTACAGATTGCTTTCCAAGAATGTCATGAAGGGATCAAGATTAAACACTTGATGCATGCTGGAATTTTTATAGAAGATCCATCTAATTATTTTCTGATCAGATGGTGACCTGTACATTTCGTGCATTTACTCTACCATACACGTACATAAACACGTTGCAGTTTAATTTTGTGCGATAATCTGATTTTCTTTCTTTCCTTCAGCTCTGTATCATGGTAACGCATCTTCATTCAATAAATAATCCAAAGAAAATTATTGACAGTACAGAATTGAACAGTTATGGTAGAACGTCAAAACTACATTTTAGAACAAAACCTGTTTTAAATATTTATTCAGTTTATCTTTAAAATTTTATTTTTAGAAAGGAAAAATATAAATCCTTTATTATTTTTATTCATTGTAACATTTGGAGTCTTGTATAGTTATTTTAAATTGCTTAAACCGTTGTACGGCCATAATTATTACAGAAAACGTATAAATTCATCACCGTTCTTTTTCTGGACGTCTTTCGCCAGTTATTGTAGTGTATGTAAAGACTAGAAGCAATACTTTCTGAACCGCTAGTAATGGCGACAGTAGGAGAACCAAATTCTTGGTAATGACATATTTAAACAAGCTCTCTAAGCAAAAATGAATAGCTACCGTCCTTTCCTACCTTAAACAAAATATTAATTTATACCGTTCGCACAGATAGGTTTAATTTTAGATATGTATCTAATTTTAAATGTAAAATATTGTTCTTCTGTAGTTTTGGCATTTTATATGTTCTATATATTTGACTTTTATATCTCTCTCT